TGGATGGATGGATGGATGGATGGATGGATGGATGGATGGATGGATGGATGGATGGCTGGCTGGATGATGGATTTTGCAAAATTAGTTCAAACTTTTCTAACTCATGATTAGCTAACGAAAAAGGGCTGCTGTCTTGTTCATCATTAGCTAATCATAAGTCTGGTAGGTCAGAAAGTCCAAGCATTATCTTATAAAGCATGTCTTTGTGGCCCTAATGTTTTACAGCAAGGCATGTCATTGTAAATCCAACACCATCCTCAGCGTTTTTCCCTGTTCAACAAATCGGTGATTCAGCCACTCAGTGCCATACTTTACATTCACTGAGCAGTTACTACAGAGGAGTAATGTGTTACCGGGAAACTTTATTATCAACTTTCCATACATGCAGACTTCCTGTAACTCCCAGGCTTCAGCCACAATAGACATTGAGCCATTATTTTTGTCTCACACTAAAGAGTAAAAAAATAGGGTGCTATGATCGGCAGCAGCTCACAACAGCACTAAAAATGATGGGACGAACATTTTTTTTAATGCTTTCTCCTAACTTGAGATGAGCTTTCGGTCCCTTCAAAAATAAAATGTCATGTGAACAAACACAACAGTGGTCTGTACTTTAAAAAAAAAAAGATTTGTAAATATGAATGTCAAAGACAAAGAATACCTTTGTATGTGAGAAAAAGGCCAGTGGTTTAAAAAGGAAAAGTAGGCAATCCAACAGAAAAATATGGTCTTCCATGGATCCATGGTTGACTGCATTGAAAGCAATGCTTGATTCTAAAGAAGTGAGGTTTTAAGTTCAGTATTTTACCAGAAATTGGATGTGAGACTTAAAGGAGAGTAGCCTGGCCCTTGCCTTCCTACACAGCTCCGCTCAATTCTAGTTTCCCTTCACTTCTCCGTCTGGGACTTCTCCCATAAAGATGGATTTCACTGGCAGATTTTTAGCCGGGCCAATCAGAGAACAGAACGTTAATTTTCTGCGCAGTGTCTCTTGTAGTTTATTTTACCTGGGCCAATCAACAAACAGAAGGAGGAGTTTTGAATGACGTCGATGTTCTTCGCAGTATCTGCTAGTTATTTTAGCATACGGCAGTGGAGGAAGTGAATGAAGCCAGTCTGTGTTGATAAGGCTTCCAAATTAAATTAAATTTGTCTGACAAAGCAGCGGCTCTCATTTATAGTCAGTTCAGCTCGGTATATTTCTCCTCTCAGTGGGGTTGTTTACAGCACACGCGATTTCCAGTTAGCCTCTTAGCTTAGCCTCCGTCACAGTGACAACACATACTTGCTTCAGCAGAGGCCACGCCTCCTGCAAGAAATCGATTTTCTATGCAGCAAGTCCAGACCCTTGTACGAAGCAAAGTGAAGGACAGGGTCTGGTTCTAACCAGGCTAAAAGGAGAGAAAATCATGTCAGGATTCCTTAATATTAGTACAGTATATAGACATTAACTCAATCTCTGCCCCCCATGAGGATTTGTTGGCGTTTGGAACACAGGTGCAAGCAGACAAGAGGTGTAAGGGAAAATAAAAACTTCTATTAAGTAATCAAATCAAATGCCTGCGGGGTGGAAAATTTGCAACACAGGGATTGACGAGAAACACAGAGGAACATGAGCCAAGAGAACATGTAAGAGAATAAATCCAGAAATGACAACAATGGGTAAAGAGACCATCCATTATCTTTCACTCACTTCTTCCTATTTAAGGGTCACAGGAGTCACTGGTGGTGCCCGATCCAACAATCACCCTGGATAAGTCGCATACACATTGCAGGGACACATAGAGACAAACAAGACAAACAACAACCATTCACCCTCTCACTCACTCACACTCTGGATGTATTGCTGAACGTGATCCACATGTTCAGGTTCACGTTTCGACACCATCATAAACAGGACTGATGGTAAAGGGCAGTCATGGCAGGTCTCTTGGTTGCTTGATGAGACCGAGATTAGCTGCAATCTGTTGTGGGTTATTTGGGCAGATAGATATCGGCCATATTTTCATGCCAACCTTGATTTATAATCTGTAGAAGACAGTCTACATTACCTAAAGGCTGACAGGGTGAAGATATTATCTTCTCGGGGTATCCTCTTCATGGGACGCCCACTTCATGGCCTGTCTCTGACATCCCCATTAAATGACCTTCAGTTTAGAAATGGTATTAGGGCTCACTACTAATGATGTCACAACTTGTAAAATACCAGCTTGACACACGAGTCCTGTCCAGATCAGTCAATAATCTATGATGGCTGTGGATGAGTGGTTAGAGGAGTTGTCCTAAAACCAGTGAGTTGTTGGTTCGAACTCCTGCACCACTGGCTTGAGTCATGTTCATGAGGAAGACATTTCACCTGCCTTGCCTGCTGCTGTTGGTCAGAGGGTTCGGTGGTTCTGGTGCATGGCAGCCTCACCTCTGTCAGTCTGCACCAGAGCAGCTGTGGTGACAATGTAGCTTACCACCATCAGTGGATGAATGGGTGAATGACTGTARTGTGAAGCAGTTAGAAGTTCAGTCCAGTTACCATCCTCTACCTTTTACATTGGACAGAAATGGATTCCATTATTTTAAATGATTCAGCTTGACAGAAAAAGTCAGTTTTTTTTCAGTCTAAAAACAAAAAGAACCTTTTCAACCCAGCTCATATATGTAGGTGGAGCATCATATGCTGATGTTTGTCTTTTATTTGTTTCTGAATACAGCAGGTCTTGTATTGTAACTGCAACATTGTTTCCGTCTTCAGTTTTTAATCCTATAAGCCTGTCTGTTATTTATTGGCTAAGTATCAGAGTAAAACATGTTTCTAAAGATTGTCTGAGTCACTTTTATTCACACTTGGACGTCATAACGACAAAATTGCTGACGGATTTCCTTRACATACTTTTTTCCGACAGTATGACACAATATAATCCACAGGTCTGTGTGTCGCTGAGGCATGTTAGAAATTACAATTGAACTTTATCATATTAGAGGTCAATACGAGTGTGTTCAGAGGGGGGTTCTGTTGAGAGGAAAAGTGAAAGTAAATGGAGTTGCTTTTGTGTAAAAATAAAAAAAGATTCCAACAAAAGGGCAGTAGAAAGTGAGGGATGTAATCAACTTTATGTTGAAGACTGTCAGTTCTGCTTGCCAAACTGAGTTGATCTTTGGCTCAGAAACATGTTTTGTGTGTTTTTTTTCCACACTACAGACATGGCTTCCTTATCTGTACCTTTCCACTATCTGTTTGTTTCCTGMCTGTGTCCAGAAAGAACCCACAGAAATAACTTTCTCTTCTTGTTTCCCTTCTACATGTTTATTCCCACGTGTGTGTTTGTGCACGCTCCTGATTCAGTTTGCCAGAATACACACGCTCTTTGATGCACCGTGAACTCATGTCACCCTTTTCCTGCCCGAGGGAACCTCCCAATGGGTGGGAGCGGGGGACTTCAGCAGGGTGGGGCAAAGGGAGGAAGGCGTGAGTGGGGTTTGGTCTGAGCAGTGGGGCAGAGAGGGGCGTGTGACTGCTTTAAGTACTGTGTAGCACATTCTTCAACTGACTTACGAGTGTATTCTGATCTGAAAAGCGGTGCAGGCTGAGGCAGAAAAATCTCTGTGAAACTTTTTGTAGACCGACCCAGGCACACAGGAAGAAGTTTCACCACCGATCTGAAGAAGAACCCAAGCAGAGAAAGTAAGAGCCTCAGTAACTCATGACTCATTTTCTATTTTTATGTGATGTTCTGTGTGAACTTGAAGATGTTTGCATGTGAAAATTCCCCACTATAAGATTTTAAAGTTTCATTGGCCACTTTTATTTAGACAGTGCTTCTACCCTATCAGTCTTGTATAAAGTACCTCAAATTAAGTGAAAGTATAGGCACCTTACCTAAAATTACTTTTGTAAAGGTTAAAGTCTTAAAGTGTCTGATATTTATATAAACCTGAAAAGTAAAATTCTAATATAAAATAAGTATTAAAAGTAAAAGTACTGAGCAAAAGTGAGCAGTTCGAATTTCCAAAATGACATTTAGTGGGAGGTGACCTCTGAAAAAATAATCTAATTTTATATTAAAATCTTAATGTTGAAAAATGTTGGATTAGCAAACCTGTTTCAGTTGCATAAATACCTCTACCATGGTCATCTTCATACTACATATATCTGCTATGTCCTGCTGGAGTTTGAAGTGATTTGTGTCTTGTACAGGTGTGATGGATCACATACAAACCACTGTATCCAGGGGGCATCATAAATCTGGATAGTTTTTTTKTTTTGTTTTGTTTTTGAACAGTGACAAGCCCAAATGCAAACAAGCTGAAAAGAAACAAGATTTTTTACTCCTTATATTTTTAAAATATAAAGAGTAGAAAGTACAGACAATTGTGTGAAAATGTAAGGAGAGGAGGTACAAAGTCAGTTGAAAAATATTTACCCCAGTAAACCAAATTTTCTGCTTAAGTTAACTAACAAAGTACAGTATTTACACTTAGTAACGTTACACCTCTGGAAAAAGTTACAAAGAACAATTGAAGGGCTAAGAAAACTCATAGTGATTTCTTTTCTTTTCAGGACTTTAGCTTTTTATTTAAACGTTAAATTGCAAGATTATTAAAAGTTTTGGCATCTAAAAATGTAATCATCCAAAAAATTTCCCCGAACAAGCGAGCCTGGCCATTTGTTGTGTGCAAAAAGCTGACTTGAATCCGCTCGTGTCTAAGCTCGGTAACCGTCCTGCATGCCAACACGAGATGACAGAAAAAGTGCGGGGTGTCGGGGTGCACAGAGGAGGAAGTAATGCGTGCAGTAATGATAGGCAGAGGGAGAAGATGAAGACCACTTAATTTCAAGCTTGGCTGATGCTTGGGTTACAGATTCATCGAAAGTGTGGGGAGAAGAGCAAGGCCAACGACATAATAGGGTTTGTGTAATGGCTTTTTTCATAAATTTAAGCGTGGGTGACTGACTAGCCAATTTCAGACCACCTTGGTGGAACAGGGATTTAATTCTGTTTTTCTTTAAAATCAAGACAATGTCACAATGACTCAAAACAGAGATGAACTCAAAATGTACATGATGGAGTTAAGAAGAAAGTGTTGATTTTCATCTGACGTGTTGGCTCATTTTCCTTACCTAAAATTGTCGAATCAGGAAGTGTGACTTCACTTTTGGGTAGAGCCCATATTACATAACAAGCCAGCTGATTTGCTTCATCCTATCCATCCTTGTGATTACGGATGTTTTAGTCAATCTGAATGTCAGTGATGGAAAAGAAAAGTCATCTGACCAGCAGATGAACTCAGAAACTGTTAACGCCTGTCAGAAACACACACACACACACACACACACACACACACACACACACACACACACACACACA